CCTCCCACTCGAAGCAGCTCAGGCACAGGAGGCTACTCTGACACTGTCTCCGTGGATGACAGACACCTCCAAAAGTGAAGTCTGTACTACCCACTCCGGCCAGCTCTTTCCCTTGCTTGACCATAATTAGAGTATTACAAGGTTTCTCTGTGGCATTCCTTGTATTTCCACCTCAGACCACTGCTTCTTTCTCTCTGCATTCCTCTGAGAAACTCCTAGTTTTGCTTTCACTGCCGCTGTCCTTTCCTTCCTTTTGGAATCAGTTCATGAAGCTCTACCAAGGACAGGGAGTGCCCCATGAGAAGGGATGCCCCATGGGAGAGGGCAGGATCTTCCTTGCAGACCTGGTGGTAACTGGAGGCAGGAAGGACGGGAACAAAGGACCAGGACTCTCCAGTGATGCTGCACAAAGGCTTTAATGAGAAGGAGCAAATGCAGTGGCACACAGCAGAGACCAAGAAGGGCGTTTGCAGGGTACGGGAGGCAAAGAAATGAGCCCTTTTCCCGAGGAACAAGGGGATGGTGTGCCATCCTCAGCAGTTCATGCTGCAGCGGGGGACAGGCAGACACAGCCCAGACCTCCCCAGACCAAGGGAGCCCCCAGAAGAGATGGGAACTCCCGCAGAGCTGAGGGAGCTGCCAACAGCAGCTGACAGAGAGGATCCAACGGCTGTGCTCTGAGGGAAGGAGGTGAGGATGGGGCCTGTCATGGTCACCACCACTGGGGAGGCCTCGATGTACACAGTCGAGTCAGCGCAGCGGGCGAAACAGGGCTCACTCTTTATTCCGAGTCATTCTCTTCACCGAATTTCTCGTTCTAATTTTAATTGTGCTAGATTCCAATCAGTGTCTTCTAGTTGAGTAGGTTTTTTATAAAATTCTGGCTGGCGTCTAAAAATAGTTTTCAGCTTATTCCATCACTTCATGTATTAAATTATCATCGCTTCGTCCTTCTCTGGCTGCTACCTTTGCGGGTAAGACAGAAATGCAGACTGGGACTCCCACTCGCTTCGCAGTGACACTGCGTCTCAGACACACTTGCACACCTGCTAAAAGTTCTTTAAAATTTTCCGTTTTAAGCGTTCCAGTTGCATTACCGCCTAAGGTCACAAGATGCCGCTGTA